TATATATTGTCTTTGGGTTCAAGCTGTCAGCAACAGCTTCCTCTGTTCTGCCCAGAACCTCTGTTCTGCTCCTTGGGCTGGCAGGGCTGTGAGTCAGTGCCCTCCCTACACCTGGCTGCCTGGTGTGCCCATGAGTCACTGCTGCCTGCCCTGGCTCCTGACTACCAGGTGGTCATGATCTTTGGACATCTTTATTCTCCTGTGTGGGGAAGGGTCATGACCCCCATGCCTTGTGTCTGCATCCATTCTGCCTGCCTGGGACAGAGGCGAAGACTCTCCCTGCAGACTCCGTTTTTTTCAGGGAAATGAGACTGGAACTAGAAGGAGGGGGTGGGGCTTCAGCACCTCTGAGGTGTGCAGGAGCCAGAATGAGACAATGTAAGAACCTTTCAGGATCTGCAGGATGCTCAGCTGAGCACACTCAGGAGCTGCCAGATGCAGTTGTTATGCAAAGGAGCTTAATTGGTCCACAGGTTGGTTGAGTTTCAAACCCACAAATTATACCAATGCTAGAGAAAGAAAAACAGATTAGACAGATTCTGGATGGGGCTCTGTAGTTTAAACAGGAAAAAAATGTGGAAACAGAATGGGCCTTAAATGAAAATGATCAGCATTACACATACAAACATCTATATATAATATGCATAAATATGTAATAGAAATATAAGACATGCTTTAATATGTAATATATTACATTTACATTATATGTATTTCTATATATTAGCTGAAAAAAAGCATGAAGAACTGCAGGCATGGGGAGGTTTAGGATTGTGGATTTTTAAAAATACAGGCCCAGGGAAAGCTCCATGAAGACTGGAGACTGAGAGGTGGATTGAAGACTATGCAACAATTCATTCTTATGAGCCACTCCACATCCAGGAGAGGCAGAGTCTGCTATAGAAGTCATTTGTTGAATTGTATCACTCAGGAAAAACATTTATTCATCCAGTCATTCACAGGGGTTAACAATTGTTATATTTTGAGTGTGTGTTTAGTAACTAGAGGTCACCAGGGCAAAACATTAGCTGTCCATCTTCTTTGTTGTGAACTTGGAAGCCAAGGTAAAGGAGAAAGATCTTTATCTTGGTGATGGTGAGACCTTGGTTCAGGTCCCCATTTGCTCCTTCAAAAGCTGTGTGACCTTGGGGAAGACGCTGTATCTATCTAAGCTTGACAGACACTATGTTGGGTTCATAGCTTGGTGAGGGTGGTAGCCACTGAAATGACTAAAAACAAGCAGCTAGCACAAAAATCTCCTCCCTGAATGCCAGAGCCTCAAGGTCTGCAGTCCAATGGTCTCATCACAGGGGTTACCAGCCCCTCTACAGATAAGAAATTGGAGGCTCAGAGAGGTAAGGAGACTTCCCCGAGTCCCCACACTCAGTGAATGGGAGAGCTGCCATGGATCTGAGGCCAGCCTGATTCCAAAGTCCATGTCCCTCCTGACCAGCACCTCTGCCAGGCGTGTTCCCCACGTGTTGAGTTGAAGATATCAGGCTGGGCAGGGTCAAGAAAACATATGGACACCTGGAAGCGCTCATTTTCTGGAGTCCCTGGTGGGGGAAGGATGTCATTTTGGGGGTGCTAAGGAAGATGTTCCAGGAAAGTCAGTGTGGTGTGGTGAGGGACGGTATCTACACTTACAGGTGGGTGTTTGTATCTGTTTCCTTGAGTATGTGAATGTGTATGTCCATGTTTTTGCACGTCTGCATGGGGAGGGAGGACGGTGGGTATGTCTGTCTGTGTGTCTGTATGTATATCTACGTCTCTCTGTGTCTATGTTTCTGTGCTTATACATACACACATGTCTCTGCTTGGCTGTGTGTGTTTGTGTGTGACTCTATGTCTGAGGATCTGCCTATGTCAATACAGTTGTGTCTTCTCTACATGTCTATATGTGTGTTTCTGTGAACCTGCATGTGTACTGTTGGTGTGTGTGTGTATGTATTTTTGGTATATTCCTTCTGTGTGTTCATATGATTGTGTATCTCTCTGTTTCTGTGTGTCTGTATATCAGTGGCTGTTCATGTGTGTGCCTCTGTGTGTGTGTGTAGTGTGGCCTGCCCCCCTCCTCACCCACCAGTTGTTTCCTTGGAGCTGATCTAACATACCCTTCAGACTCAGGGAAAATGACAACATCAAGGCTTTAGTCTTATCTCCCAGCCTGCCACTCTGTCCTAGGAAATTAAATTGGCCCGACATGGCCTGCTCCTGATGATGTCATTTGTCTGTGATTGGCACAGTCTGCTCTCCAAGGCATTTGTCTTTTGATTGTTTGATGAATACCTGCCAATGTAGAGATTAAGTGAACACAAGTTTTTAGTTGTTCCTTTTCTTTTTTTGAGTCGTGCCAGGGCGAAACATTAGCTGTCTATCTTCTTTGTTGTGAACTTGGAAGTCAAGGTAAAGGAGAAAGAACTTTGTCTTGGTGATGGTGAGACCTTGGTTCAGGCCCCCATTTGCCCCTTCAAAAGCTGTGTGACCTTGGGGAAGACACTGTACCTACCTAAGCCATGATGTGTTGTCTTGTAAGATGATTCCTTGGAGGGACAGATACAGTAATAGATTACCATGTTCTCAGAAATGCATGAGGTCCTTCAACTGTATGATGTCAGAGCAAAGAGGTCCAGGGGGATGACCTTAGGCTCAGATGGCAGGCAGAAATTGTTTAGGTCCTGACTCCTTTTTTTCCCAAAGTATGGTCCTGAGTAAGTGACTGGATCTCTCTGAGCCTCCAGTTGCTCTTCTGGTAAATAGGATAGTAGGCCAGTGTGAGGGTCCCCCAGAATGGGAGCCATTACTGTTTTAAACAATGCAGCAGAGGCTGGGGATTTAGCTCAGTGGTTTCGCCGCCGGCTGCGCAAGTGCAAGGACCCGGGTTCGATCCCCGGTACCAAAAAACAGCAACAACAACAAAAAACAATGCAGCAGAGGTGATGGCAATATCAATTTTGGCCTTCTTTCAAACTTTCAGGGAGTACAAGCAAATTAAGCCTTTGGAAATGCAGGGCAAAATGGATGGACAGCATGATAGAAGTGATTTACTATCATTCATTTTTACTATTTCAAGATGCAATATCAGCAGAGTGTTCTTGGCGTTACCAAATGTTGGCAAGCATTTTGCACTCCATCTAGAACTCAGGGGCTGTTCTTTTCACAGACAGGCACTGAGAATAAGGTAGCCTTCAGCTCAGAGTGGTCCAGGCTGACTGGCTGGGTGGCAGACTCCCCAGTACCAATCCCAAATCCCACCAACCATCTCCTTTCTAAATTATCTCCTCACCTCCAGGATGGCCTCAAATCCCCCTTGTCTCTGAAGATGATGTCCCCTCTCCTGGGAACACACATGGACAACTCTCACCCCTTAGATAATCTGGGCTTGGCCCCAGGTCCCTCTGCCCAGGCCAAAGCAGATGTCCCTGCAATGTGTCCCAGAGCAGCCTGGATTCACCCCATCATGTGTGATGTGTGGGGCATTCAAATAATTTTCTTCTCTTCAGGGTTCCCTTTCATTTGATGCCTTCCCAGAGGGCAGAGATGGGATTCCCAGGAGTCCTGAATGGATGCTCGAAGAATAAACACACAGAGACCATTTGTCTCTTCATATTTTGTGTCCCACTCACCCCTTAGATGGCAATACTCTCACATACAAATACATTCTCCTTGCATAAATCCATTTCTGACAACCATTTTGCTTAATAACAGATTTCAGAGAGATTCTTTTCGTTTGTTCCTATTGCACTGGGTTTTGAAGCAGATGGGCTCATCTCTCGTGCATCTGCTTGTTTCCAATGACAGTGTTATGCAGGCTGAGGGCAAAACTATCCCCAGGGTTTGAGTAGCTCCAGCCTGGGTTCAAGGATAACTTGAGAGTTTGGTCTGAGAGTTGTGGCACCCACATAGGCCTACAGCATCAGGTGGGACTGCTCGGGTTCCAAGCCTCAGTTCTGATACTTACTAGCTATATGGATGTGAGTAAGGCACTGAATCTTTTTGTGACTCCTGGGATTAGACATTAGCATTACTCTGTACATTCAGATAAGTCTTTGTATGATCTCATGGACATCCTTAAAGGAGAGAAGGATGGCCCATTGGTACCTGATAAGGTGTGAGACCCAGGAGATTCTCACCTTTCTCTTGCTAGGCACATCTAGTCGTCAGCCTATTTGACCCTCTGCCCACCTCATGATGTAGCCCAGGGGTCAGGAAATTACAGCCCTCAAGCTAAATCTAGCCCACTACCTGTTTTGTTAAATAAAGTTTTATTGCAGCATAGTTCATTTATGTCTTGTCTATGGATGCTTTAGTAATACCATGGAAAAGTTGAGTAGTTGTAACAGAGACTGTAGGGCTTGAATCACATAAAATATTTTCTCTGGCCCTTTAAAGAAAAGCTTGCCAGCCTTTGGTGTTAGATAAAAGGATTAAAGATTAATTTTGTTGAGCTAACCCAGAAAGTGGAGCACCATTCCTACCTCTTTGCTCTCCTTCAGTCCTGATGTTGGCTGAAAACTAAGATCAGATTACTTTCCCCCACTCTATCTCACACATGTAATCTTCCAACATCACTGTCTTAGCTCCATGCCTGCAAGGTGTCTGTGGAACTGGACTAAGGTAACCCTGCTGGATGAATAATGCTCCACAATACACATCAGTGAGCAGCGAAAGGACCTCTGTGTTTGCAAGTCCACCTCACCCCATCGGTGACACTCAATCAAATGACAATGATTACAATATTGATTATATTTATTGATTGTATTTCCTCAAATTGGCCTCTGTCTAGCCAGCTTTCCACACTACAACTAGATTGATCTAACAGGCCATGTCCCTCTCCTGCTCAAACACTTTAATGGCTCCCTACTATCCTCAGGATAAAGCCCATGCTCCTGTGTGTGACATTCAAGGCCTCTCAAGGTCTGGTCTTTGCCAGCCTCCTAGCCTCAAGTCTCCTGCTCAGTCTATATTAGCCCTGAGCACTCCCATGACACTGAGGTGTCCCTACACTAAGACCTCCATGCTTGTTCATTCTTTGGGAACTGACACATTCTCATCCTTCATGAAATATTTTGCTCTTCTCACCCATCTGCCAAACTCCTAGTCATCCCAGCATGAGCATCTCCTCCCTGTGGCTTTCTCCCTGATTCACCAGGTAAGATATGGGCGTTCCTGCTGAGGTTCACTTTAGTCCTCATGAACCTTGGCTCACAGACTATAAACAGATCACAAAGGCAGTGCAGTGGATCTGGGGCACCTTTTAAAGGTGAATTTGATAGTGCATCACTTTTTATCACGTGTAGTTATAGCACAGGACAAGTAGCCTGGGCCCTGGAGCCAGACTGCCATGATTTCAAGTCTGCCTCTATTGTTTATCAGTGATGACTCTGGGAAAGTGACTCAATCGCTCTGTGCCTCAGTTTCCTAATTTGTAAAACAATGGTAGTGATAGCACTGTCCTCATAGCAAGTCATGAAAATTAAATAAATTAATATATATGTTGAGTCTCCCAGTTAAAAAATGCAAAATCTGAAATGCTCCAAAATTCAAAATTCCTGGGCACTGACATGATGACATAAGTAGAAAACTCTAAACTATAATGCCACTTTTCATACACAAAATTGTATAAATATTCTGTAATATTAGTTTTAGACTACTTGTATAAGATGAAGCATAAATGAATTTCAGGCTTAGACTTGAGTCTCAACCCCAAGATATCTCAATATGTATATAAAAATATACCAAAACCTGAAAAATCTGGGAACAATTCTGGTCCTAAGTATTTCAGAGAAGGGGCACATTTAATCTAAATGTATATTATACTAAAAAATTAAAATATAATTTATACCATACATATGTATGTATATTTGTGTGTGTGTGTGTGTATATCTATCTATCTATCTATCTATCTATCTATCTATCTATATATCTCCATCCACATAGACAGCACTGTAAACATGCTAACTGGTGTGTGTGTACACATATACGGATCTGTATGTGTGTGTACATGCGTGTACATGTACATGTGTGTAGTTTATGAAAAGAACTATTGAAAGCCTCTAGTCTGATGGGAACTCATTTTGACATTTATTAAAGTGATTATTTGAATATATTATGATTTTGTTTTTCACTCCTTCACTAGATAGGGAGTTCCTGGAGGGCAATGAATATGACTTACTTATTTCTGTACTATAAGCACCCAGCAGCATGCTTTGTGGGTCTTTTTGGAATAAATGACAAGATGAGTCCTATATCCTGAAGCTGAGCCACCACAGGGTCTCTTTTCTGCAGATTCAGGGTCTGCATCCTCCAGTCCCCTCCTCCACCTCCTGCTTCTCTCTAAACTTTTGTGAGATTTGGGTGACTTTCTCAGGAAATCTGGTCTCCACCGAGAATATGTGATCACATCTCACTGTCAGTGAGAGGGAGGCAAGCATGAGGGACCCTCAAGCGAGAAATGGAGTCCCCAAACTGACTGAGGAAAATGGAAACTCCAGCTGACCTAAGAGATTTCTATAATGAGAGAAAACCAATTTAAATGCAAATTGCTCATGGAGTGGTTGGGGCAAGGCTTCTTGCTGCAGAGAAAGTCTGGGAAAACAAACACTGGCCTCATCACGAGGGCACTTCACCATTGGACAGGAGGCTGCTTTATCTACTCAGGATTAAAGTCTAAACTAGTGACAAAGAGTCTCATGCATTGCTGGCAGCATTCCCTGGTGCCACATGGCACTGACTGGGAAATGGGTGTCCCTTTAGGCATTGGTCTTCTGCCACTACCACTTACGGCCCCTGAGCAGGTGTCAGGTGCCATGCAAGGGTGCAGAGAACAGAAGATAAGCACATACAGGGGCTGCCCTTAATGTCTACAGCCCAGGGGGTGCCCCGGAGTCCATTCTGGCTGCAATGAGAACTAACATTTCATTAATTACACACCAAGCCAGGACTAATAACTATGTGTGATAGTAACCCACGAATTCCCTCAGCAAGCCTATGATGTAGAACCCACTATTTCTCCACTTTTACAGATAAGGAAACTGAGGTTCCAGGAGGGTGAGAAATTTGCCCATGATTGCTGAGATTCACCCAAGACAGAATAGTCCCAAGGCAGTGGCACATTCCCCTCCAGAAATGCTAGGAAGAAAGCTCCTGCAGAGGAGCTTAGGATTGCCATGCCCAACCCTGAGTTCTGTCTGGGTGCTGATTACATACCCGGGGGTATCTTCTGCAGAGTTTAGGTGCCCAAGGTCAGGATATTGTAGGAAGTTGTGGGATGTTGTCTACCATTGACTTTGATCTAGGCTGCAAAATGCAATACTCCTCAAGGTATCAAGACCCGTGGGTTGCTCTACCACTAACTGGCTGTGTAAACTTAGGGGTCACTTTCCCTGTCTGAGCCTCATTTCCTTATATACAATGAAGAGCCCCAAATTAGTCATGACAATGAAAGTTTATGATTCTAGGACTCTACCTACCCTTAAGAGCAACCATTGCCCAAATGACAAAACACCTCCTTCCTTCCTTTGTCTTTACTCCACCCAACCCATGCCCTCTCCTCTGTTGGCCCATATCTGTTGCAATGGGGCACTTTAATTTCCTCCTTTTGTTTCATAATTCAAGGAAAGCAACATCTGCCACATTAAATCCCCACACTCTGCTTGCCTCCTTCTTAAAATAAGGGATGGATAAAGGCTTCATCTGGTTTATTTCATGGATGGAGCAAGAGCTGGCAAAACCCAACGGGAACAGCTTTGGCCTCCAAAGCTGCACTAATCCCCTAATCTTCTTGTAGGGCCCAGAAGCCCATTCTTTTGACTCTCTGCCTACCCCAGCCAAATCATGATGACAAGGAGGATGATAGATGATGTTTATTGAGGCTTTTCTATGCTAAGCATTTTCTGAGTTGTTTTGTGGACTCATTTACTTACTCTCTCCTGGATTTCTGGGACAAAAGGGCTAATAATAGTGGTTCCACTTTAGAGATGAAGAAACTGAGGCCCAGGGGCATTAAAAATTTTAACAAAGGTCACTAAGCCAGCAAACCACAAAGGCTGAACTTGAACCAACTGGGGAAATCAGCACAAACACACAAAGATGGCCAACCCATGAGAACCTGGGCTTCACTGCTGAGCCCCTGACTGTTAATCTTGAGTTGAGGCCATACTTCCTTTTTAAATGCGCATGTGACACACTTTTACTGAGCCCGTCACTGTGCGCTAGCAGCTGTGATCCACAGAAGGAGCCAATTGTGAGGAAGGCCTACGGGGACCCAGTTTCATAGGGCTGATCTAGCCTGACAACAGGTACTAAACAAGCAACTGAACAGCAACTGTCAAGCAACAAGCAACTGTCACTTCAGGTGACAAACAAGCAACTGTCACTTCAGGTGACAAAGTGCCATGAAAAAAGGCAACAAGGATGTGAGAGAAAGCCACGTGTGAAGTTCAGGGAAGGCCTTGGCTACAGGGTCTGTCAACCTCAGACTATGGGTCTTAGGGGGCTCTTGCTGTCAAGGCAGTCCTGTGCACTACAGGACATTTAGTAGCAGCCCAAGAGATGCCAGTAGCTCTCTCCCCTCTCCATTGTGATACCTGAAATATGTCTTCAGACATTGTCAAATGTTCCTCTGGAGAGCCAATCAATGCCTTTTGAGAACAATTGAGCCTGAGACCAGCAAGCAGCTACACGAGAGGAAGGTAGAGCAAGGTGACGTGGGAAATTTCTCAGAGCACTGAAGAACAGGAAGAAGACTCATCCAGCTGGAAGGCAGTGGGCCAGGGAAGATGACACAGTCATCATGGCCATGTGCTCTTTAAAACTCTCCCTATGTACCTTGCAACGATGATGGAGTTTCTCCTCTGTCACACATTGTACAAAGACACACTGCACACTCCAAGGTGCTAGCCATCAGGGTGGCTGGACAAGACACATGTGCCCCTGAAGGCAGCGGTCAGCATAGGACTACTGAGGGTAACAGAGCATTCCAGACAGAAGGCAAGCAGGGAGTCACTTCAAGGGCAGTGACCATGGGGCATAAGACCCTGGAGAAGGAAGGCAATGGCAGAGCTGCTTTGTGAAGAGAAGGTAAGAAGCCAGTGAAGCCTTCACTCCCCAGCATCCTACCATTCTACTTCCTATTGTCAATCACTCATTGCCACATCATGGGGCTCACATTTTGGTGAAATTTCTAATGATAATGCCCCCTAGCCTAACTAAGGGGCTAGACTAAAATCCAAACTTGGCCATCATATTCTTTCTTCCTGCAATTAGAATATTGGGCAGAGAAACTCAAGGGTTCTGAATGGTCATAGACAATTTTTCTAACGGAAATGAAACAAAGCATGTTCTTTTGTTCTGGCATTAATTTTAACTGTCCCAACTCCCTAAGAAGTAGTTGTATCTATGTGTCTGTCTCAAGGTCTAGGTTTTAGCTTTTTCTTCTAAAGCCCTCACTCCATGGTACAGGGGATTGAACCCAAGGACTTCGTCCTGAGGTACATTGGCAGCATTTATTTATTTATTTGTTTGTTTGTTTATTATTTTGAGATAGGACATCAATAAATTGCCCAGGCTGAGCTCAAACTTGTGATTCTCCTACCTCAGCCTCCCAAAGTGCTAGGATTGCAGACATGTGTCACCACACTCAACTTTTCTAATGCCCTTTTAATATACATCTACATAATTCACCAGAGTGGGTTTTTGATGCTTAAAATGCCAATTAAAATAGAAACAGTGCAATGTGAACAGGGACAAGAGAGTGTAGGTGTTTCTGATTCATTGTACTCACTGCTTTGTATTCAATAAGGCATGCGTCTCTCTCTCTCCCAGTTGCAATCAAGGTGCTTCTCCAAGACCAACACTGTATTCCTCTCTTCACATCCACAGTTCCAGCTTAGCTCTGCTTCTCTTTCTTTCACCATGATTTGTAATTATAGTCATTTCTCAATATTCATGTGGAATTGGTTCCAGAACCCTGGTAGATACCAAAGGCATAGATGATCATGTCTGTTACATAAGATAGCTTAGTATTTACATAGAACCTATGTATATCATCCTGTACACACACTTAAATCACCTCTGTGTTACTTATAGTACCAAATAAAATGTCAGTGCTGTGTAAATTGTTGTTATCCTGTATTACTTGGGAATAATTACCAAAAAAGAGTCTGTACATTTTCAGTACAAATGCAATTAAAAAAAAATATTTCCCATCCAACTGGTTGAATCTGCAGACAAAGAAGCCATATACATAAAGGGCCAAATGTATACATTTCTTTGTGGGATCGTTTGTTTAACATCAACCTCTTCCACCATGTGGAAGCCCATGAATATAGAAAGCAGGGAGCTTACCCTAACCAGTGTCACAGGCAAAATGGGACAGTGGTCACCCTTCCAAATGTCTGACATGCAGAAAAGCTTCAAGCACCATTGATACTAGTCTCTCAAGAAACATGTTAACACAAATTAAGATTAACTGGTGAGGCAGCCATATATATTGTTGAGCTCCAAAGTATTTCTTCATGACTACTGCAAGCCAGGTAACCAGCCCATTAGGAAGATACAGAGAATTGAAAGAAAAGGAATATTGGCAGTCATGGCTGCTATAGGATTATAGATTGGACTCAGAGTGTAGAGGGGCTTGAGAGGCAGGCTCAGAAATCTGGGCACATGCACAGGTGGGACAGATCCTTGCCAATTTAGGAGCAAGAAGGAGGCACAAAGAGAGGGATAATTTAGGGGTGATGCACTGGCAGCTCCTCCCTGACTCTCTGACAAAGGAAACATCTGCAGAAGGAATCACCAGAAGCTATTGAGAGAGGGGATGGAACCTGAAGTTAGCAAGTTATTTGACTGTTTCTAAATTCTGTGCTGGGCAAAGAAAGGGGGTTAGAAACTTCCCTTTTCATTTCAAGCACAACCATCTGCTCTGTTCAATGAGCAGAAAAATCCACCCCCAGGAAACGTGAATTTATTTGTGGGTATGTGATGAATCCCACATCTTTGCTTCTCATGGAGATCCAGTGACCCAAACCATCCCACAGGGCCAACTTGATGAATTACAACCCTGTTTCACCAGTAGGTGAGAAACACATTTGTGTGGAGCTGCTATAGACAATTTTTATGTCCTCCAACCCACAAATCCTTGTATTGGAACTGAATCACCAAGGCAAAAGAATTAGGAGTGGGGCCTTTGTTAGGTGGTTAGGTCCTGAGGGTGCAGTCCTCAAGAATAGGGTTAGTATACTTATTTAAAAAGCCTCACAGAGCTCCTTCACCCCTTCCACTGTGTGAGAGCATAGCAAGAAGGACTCATCTACGAAGCAAAATTTGAGCTCTCATCAGATACCAAATGTGCTGATCTTGGACTTCTAGACCCTAACATTGTGAGGAATAAATTTTTGTTGTTTATAAGCTACCCAGTTTATGGTATTCTGTGATAGCAGAATTAATGGGCTCAGACATGAGCCGAACAAAATTTTAGATGGATTCCCATAGACTTTTAGGTATAGAAAGCCTCAGAAAAGAATACTTCTCTAATTCAGTTCCCTCATTTCAAAAGCAAGGAAAGAATCTTCCTGAGATGATCAATAAGTGAGAAGCCAAGGCCGGGCTGTTTTCTCCTTAGCTCTTCTCATATAAAAGAATTGAATCACATAAAGGGTGGTCCCTTGTCCCTTAAAGTTGAGAGAAGGTTCTAGAAAGAAAAACACTAAATCTTGTGAGAGTTTTTTGCTGTTTAAATTCTCTTTCAATCTTTCTCATTACACTAAATTGTTAAAAGGTCTTTAACACCTCAGTAAAACATTGACACCTCTCCATATCTCCTTTTTAAATGGAAATCAAATAGGCCTCAAGCCCAGAGTCTTTGATGGGCAACCTGTTCCTCTAGAATTTAATAATATTGCTTATTTTCATGGTCTTTCTTCTTGTGGATAGTTTCTATTTGTGGTAGATGGTATTGGCTTTCCATTTATGGTAGTAAGTTTTCTTTTTAAAGAAATGCACTTTAAGTTTTCAATATGAGACAAACTAAAGAAAAATAATGAAGGACAGACTAGGCCACATGGTCTATAGAAAAATAATCGGTGATCCTCAAATAGCTAAAGCTTGAGACAGGTGGAGGTCAGAGGGATGCTGACTACAGGGCTACTCACTAGAGTAGGCACCACTCATGTCATTCAGCAAAAGTCCAGCCTGAAACTGAAAAGGTGACTTCTTAAGTGAATTAGAGACAGAGACACAAAAAATGCTAGCAAATTCTTCACATGACTTTGAACAGACAAAAGCCTTTTGAGATAAGAGAGAACAGATCGATTGTTAAATTTGGCAAAGGACTGGTGGGTAAGGGTGTCTACTGTCTGAATAAAATGACCCCTAGGACATTCATGTATTTTTCCTATGAATAAAAACTTTGTTAGTCAACTTTCTGTCACTATGATGAAATACCTAAGATAATCAATTTATAAGGAGGAATGATGAAGTTTGGCTCGTGGTTTCAGAGGTTTCAGTCCATTGGTAAACACCATTGCTTTTGGGGCTGTGGCAAGGCAGGACATCATGATGGGAGCATGTGGCAAAGCTGTTCACTTCATGGCACTCAGAAGCAAAACAAGAGTCAGGAAGGGGGTGGGTCCTAATATCCCCTTGAAGGACACATCTTCAATGACCTAACTTCCTTCTACTAGGCCCCACCTCCTAAAGGTTCCTCCATCTCCCTATAGTGCCATGGGCTGGGGACTAAGCCTTCAACACATGGACTTTTGAAGGACATTTCACATCCAAACCACAGCAACCACAAATGTAGTAGCAATGATGGGAGAAGGGCAGTTGCAGCAGCTACTGCTTATTGAGTCTCTGGGCTAAGCTCTTCACGTGCTTCTGAGCATGTCTCACAGAAACCCTTTAACATCCTTATATGGTGGAGTAGCCCCTATCCAAAATGCTTGGGACCAGAAGTATTTCAGATTTTGGAGTTTTTCAGATTTTAGAATATTTGCATGTGTACAATGAACTATATTGGGAATGGGACCCAAGTCTAAACATAAAATTCACTTATATTTCATATATACCTAGCCTAAAGGTAATTGTATACAGTTATTTTAATATAATTTTGTGGATCAAATGAAATTTGTGCATACTTAACCATCACATTTCATGTATGAAACTTTCCACTTGTGGCATCAAATTTTTGTGTTTTGGGTTTTGGAGGATTTCAGATTTCAAATTTTTTGATTAGGGATTTTCACTATGTAATGCTAGTGCAAATACTATCTAACAGATAAGCAGCACATAGTATGTATCAAGATCTCTTCAGAATACTTCTTCATTCAGTCTTAACAGCAAGCCAATGAGGCAAGTGTTATTGGCCTCACTTTACAGATTAGAAAACTGAAGTAAAAGGAGGCTAAAGAGTTCAAAATCTGGTAGTAAGGGATAAAGACAGACTCACACCCAGACATTCTAGCTTCTAAGACTGAGTCCAACCATTACACTGTATGGAAATGAGTGAGCAAAGGCTTTCCATCTGTTTCTTTTTTTACAAATTTATTTTATTGGTACATTTTAGGTATACAATATAATGACATTCATCATTGGAAATTTGCACCTTTACATAATCTCTCTTGGTTCTTATTTT